GCCCAAAAGATTTTGCATGGACTTTGCGCGGACTTTCGGGCGTTCTAAAAGCCAGCCCTGAGCGTCCTAGGCCGCGTTTTGGAGCGAGTTCCGGCCGGAACCGAGAGGAAGGACTTGCACCATAAACGAAACAGCCAGAGACTACACTGTATCATAGCGCAGTTTTGAAACATGGATATAAGAGAGAGCCTTCACCTCCCCTTCGAAGCCCGACAAGTCTTTAAAGTTCCCCTTCTTTGAAGTCTTCCATCCTTTTCTTCGAAGCCTCTTTTTAACCCCCCTTCCAAGCCCCTTAAGCTTCCCGCTTTGAAACCAGCTCATTTGATTTGTTTGCAAGGTTTTTTATTATTGGTTTCATCGCTTTTAACCGATTTCATGCGGCTTTCTCCTTGTTGTGCATGAAGAAAACGTTTATTCTTTGTTTTATTGCGTGTGGCTCATTTTAGTTTATTTTCATCGCTTTTAACTCCCTAGAGCGCTCTCGTGGCTTTCTTGCTCTTATGTGTGCAGAAAATGTTGAGCTCGTGTGTTTGCAAGGTGTTCTGCTTGTATTTAATTTTCTTTTATCGCTTTTCAGCCCTGAAGCGATTTCGTGTGCTTTCTTCTTGTTGTGTAATCATCGCTTTTACCCCCTGAAAACGATTTCGTGTGGCTTTCTTGTTGTTGTGGAATGGCGGGGAGGTTTGGGGGGGGCGCAGTCCCCCCGTTTGCAAACGTAGTCTGCGCAAAAGGAACTGTTGCCCCCTTTGTAGCCTTCAAAGCCCCTTCCAGATAGAAGGCAGGATTGTGGACATGCACGATGCAGGTACTATCTGATTATCGCGTCGTAATTCTCAAAGCAAACAGTTGTCGCGCATTGCCAGCTTTTTGAGCTGTTGACAGGCCTTGTGGGTTTGTGCACATGGAGCTTTGATCATCTTGGAAATTGAAGAGTGGTCTACACGCGAGGCTTTGCGCTTGAAGCTTGTGCTATGCCGCCTGAACTTTCTTTACTTCTTCACTCTGTCTTGCACGCTGTTGTTTTACTGGGGAGCTTTCCACTTTGACTAAAGGTCGAACGGGTTTGCGACTTTGGAGTAGACTTTTCCAGCAAGCCGAAACAAAAAGAAGCTGAGTGGGTGAACTGCACTTAGCCTCTTAGCATTGTTTGTAACTCAGCTTGCGGCTCGACATTCCACGTTTCAGCTTAGCCATGCATGATGTCAGCAACAAGCATTGCGCAGCAAACCGCAAACCTCCTGGGGGAGTTTGATCATCTGATCACCTATATTTTGAGCCATGCGAGCTTCGCAGTGGTCGGTACTGGTTTTCGGGGACAGTTGCGTTGTCAGTGTGCGCATGGGCGGACGGTCTCAGATGTCCTGCCGCTTCGAATGCTGTTGTTCATGGTGAGTGTGCTGCATATTGATTCATTCAAATGTTGCGGTTGATTCGCTGTCGCAGGATTCGTGGGCAGATTATATGCACCCTACTTGGCCACAGGCCGGGGCAGCACATGCTGCTGCGTGTATGAATGAATGGGGTTGCTGTTTGACCAAGTTCTTGCTTGTACAGGTTGCAAGCGATTTTGCTTATGGTCGTGCTAAGCCATAAACCTCACCAGCGAAGCTTTACATGCCAGTGGGGCAGTGCGCGCCTTTGCTGCAGGTCTTAGGACGGAGACTGGGTGCACGAGTCATCAATTTCGCCCAAGCAGGCCTCCCGTGTCGGCTTGCCGTGGGGCCAAACGTGCTTAGATCTTGTCAGCATTCTAGAAGAGGGTCCTTTTTTAGTTACCCAATATAGTACAGCATCCTTATACAAAGGATCCTACAAGGAACCCTAATTCAAAGAACTATCCATGTATTTGACTGACACATATACAATCCGAAGGCTTCCTCACCTTGCCAGCGGTTCTTGCTTTCCCAAGCCTGGCACGTGATACTACACCGTAAACATGCAGCTGCAGAAACTTAAACCCCTTAAACCCTAAACCCTGAAAGCTAAAACCTAAGAATCCTTAACCCTTAAACCCTAGACCCTGAAAAACATAAAAACCCTAAACCCTTAAACCCTAGACCCTGACATAATTAAAAACCCTAAACCCTTAAACCCTAGACCCTAAAATACAAAAAAATCCTAAACCCTCAAACCCTTAGTCCGATTCCCGGAACAAGGACTTCGAACCAGGCTTTCCAAGTGCGAGATGCGAAACACAATCAACCCCCCGAATCCCGCATACTGGGTTCATTTTAGGGGATTCAGAATTTAAGTTACCATAATAAGAAAACCAGATGTTTTACTGTAGATCCCTATTATGGTGACTTAAAGTATATCCTTTGGCAAGTAACTAGAGCCGAGCATGCTTTGAAAGATTTTGGCATCTCCATCGGCTTCGCCCACAGTGTTCCCCAAGAAGCCCTGAACCTTTAGCCTTAGAGTTTAGGGTTGTTTATCACGTAAGGATTCTAGAGTGAAGGTGTTCTGGGGAGCGCACTCCATAAAACCCGAACCCCAGGCCTCAGACGCTAAATGCTCAACTCTGTAATCTAGGCCTCGCACCCTACACCCTAGACCCTAAACCCCCTGAAGGCCTCGCCACAGTCTCAGCAGGTTCCATGTGCGGAGACATCCGCAACCAAGCGCAGAGAGCGCTTATCAGCCCTGAGGTTCCGTTTCAGAAAGGGTTTTGGGTTTAGGGGTGTAGTGGGGGCTTAGGGTTTAGGGTTAGGGGGGTTTAGGGTTTAGGTTTGGGGTTCCGGGTTTAGGGGTGTAGGGGGTGTGTAGCGTTCAGGTTTGAGGGTTGAGGGTTCAAGGTGTAGGGTTCTGTGTTCAGGGCTTAGGGTTCAGGGGCATTGATTGTCATTGCTGTTGTGTTTTGCTTTTTCACGATTGGCATTGCTGTCCTTTCACTTGTTCACCAGCTTCTGATTGTTAGTCGTGCAATATTTCAGTTTCTTGGACAAGGGGCTTCCTGCAAAAGCCAGGACCATGATCGCTAGCGCTGTCGTGGTCTTTAGTGTTTCGATGCTGGTCTGTAAATCGGTGGTTTGCAGTGGTTTGGCGGGGAATCTTCGCAATTTCCGAATCCAGATGCGGGGCGTTACGGGGTTTCTACGGTTCTTCAGGGTTTTTGCATGCTTCAGCTTGGCAGGGTCCACGGGTTTGAGTTTGGGTTTCGTGGGCTTGCTTGCAGCATAAACACCTCGGTGCACTTATAGTGTCTGACAAGGTGTTATACAGCAGAACAGGAACTCTGACAAAGAGGAGCCTGTCTCAGGAAATAGAATCTGAGGCCTTCGCGACGGGCCTGCACTTTTCCCGTGAACATGTGACGAATGAGATCTTGAGACTAGACATGCTCAAGTGCTAGTGATGCATGAGGATCAGTATGAGGAATGCACGTATCAGGATTATTCAGAATTCATGCAAGGCCCATGTCACTCGTTCTCGAGGTTCCCAAAGCCGTCGGCGGCTTGTTCCAAAGCGAGACACTGATTGTTATCCATACGTCAGGAGCTGAGTTGAGCATACTGCCATTGATGATAAAATTCCTGCATTACCTTAAGGACCCTAAACTATGGAAATTATGGCGTATTCCTCATTATGGGTAGTGCAGGATTTATATCATCAACCGTCGCACTAGGGAGGTGTTAATGACCAGTTCATGTATGTGCCCCAGGTGTGGGAACGACTTCATCATGAAGATGGCCGAGGCAAAAGCCGTGCTGCATTTTGCCACAGACATCACACCTGAGTCGCCTTTCGTGTCGGTTCATGAGCTTCTCATGGACATGAAGGCTTTGTTCCAGCAGACTGCAGGTCTATCGAAGCCCTTGATGACCCTGGCATTGCCACACACAAAGCCCTTTCTGTCTTCAGGCGTTTATGGGCGGCGGTCTTGGTGGCTTGCTTGGTGGAGGAGGCGCGATTACAGATTCAGCAAGAGCTTTGCCCGGCGACTTTTTTTTTGCACACGCAACGCAGCGGACACATGTGTTCGATGTGGCTGATGTCCACTAGGGGCTTTCATGTTGCCGCTGCCGTCACGGTGTCTGCAGCCGGGGTGCACATCACGTTGACAGACAACAAACGTTCTTGAAGTTGCTCGGCCTCAAAGACTGCAGCAGAAAGCATTCGCGCACACCCCGATAATTTTCGCCACCCACCCAAAGTCTTCGCAGACTGTGACCTCTCTGAGGCGGAACTGAACCTCTCACGTAAAAGCCCAAACTCTCTTTCCGCAGGCGGCCCTTCCCTGGCGACTCCCGAAATGCTGCAGCCGAATCCCGGTGTGCGTGAGGCAGCGGCACCGGCCTCAGATTCTTGCAGTTACATAACATTTACATGCCTACATATACTGTACATATATATATACACAGATGTATGTATGTATATATATATATACATATGTGTATATACATATATGCATACATACGTTTGTACACGCATATGTACAACAGTCGTAGACTAGTGAGACGAATGTGTGCACAGTGTGTGTACCGCATCGTCTTTGCCAGTGGGCTTCCGGGAACATGGAGTGTCAGAACAGAAGCGACCTCAATGCAAGCTACGAGCCCTAAATGCGGCTGATGATAGAAATCCTGCATTACCTTAAGGACCCTAAACTATGGGAATTATGGTATCTTCCTTATTATGGGTAATGCAGGATGTATATCATCAACCGTAGTAGTGGGATCCTGATTCTGCCGACCCTGAAGTAAGGTACCCTTGATTGTTTGACACACCGCCATCCGACTCCCGACCCGCCAGTTCATGAAAGAGTTCCTCGAGTCCATGCACCGCGCCCCGGACTCAGAGGAGGATGCGCGTTTTGGGGCTTAGGGTTTAGGGGTGAAGCGAAGACTGTATGGTGGAATGATGCAGCGCATGATGCCCCATCCCTGTATGGGCAATGGTTGAAAGGATTCGGCTTAAACAAACCCTAAACCCTAAACCCTAAATCTGAAGCGTTGGTAGGGAAGCATGAAGCAGGGACAGTCTTCGAGATTTGAGCAGAAGGCTGTTCCATTCCCAGAGAACCCAATACCCCTTTACCCAAGCGAGTCGGTTCAAGCTCGCCCAAACCCCTAATCCCCCAAACCCGCAACCCTGAAACCCCCAAACCCCAAACCCCCAAAACCCCAAACCCCAAGACCCCCAAACCCCAAAACCCCCAAACCCCAAAACCCCCAAACCCTCAAACCCCCAAACCCCCCCAAACGCCCCCAAACCCCCCCGAAACCCCAAACCCCCCCAAAAAAAAAGCACCAAACCATCGCCAAACCCACTCCGACCCTCATTAAGGGAACTATATATAACTCGTTAAGTCTGGGACATTTTCAGGTGGGCAGTTACTATTATAGAAGCCTTATAGAAGGTCTATAGACCTTATAGAAGCCTGTGAATCATCATACTTTGCCCACTCACACAGGCGAGCACAGCCACATCTCAAGGCT